TCACCCTGGGCTTGATCTGGACCATAATTCTGCACTACCAGGTGATACACACACTCGCAACCCGTTCTCCGTTTAGCTACGTTCGTTTTAGGTCAGGGGTCTTTCCTCATCCCCTGTTTTTTAAGTTTGCCAACCTGATCGGAGGTAGTACCACCACATGCCACACATTTCTGAGAAAGTGAGAGAGGTGACGTGCCAGAAGACTGTCACAGGTACATTTTAAATGTCTTCCTGTATTATATAAATGCAATGTACGTACAGTGAATAAAATAAAACAATTCCTGATTCATTAATAAAACATATCAACCAGCAGGCCTTGTAGTCCATTCCAGGATATTTTAGACGATTTAAATTTTCTGTTCCATGTGTAGTGGTTCACAAACGGAGACGAAGGCTTCTTTGGAGGCAACACGTTTATGTAACTTCCTCCCTAAACACAAAGGGGGTATCTCCCCTTTAATAGATAACCTAGGGAGGTAGTCCCTCTGGGTGAGCCAAACCCTCACACACACTGGGGAGGCGATATTAGACCGGACCCCGACTCGGGTCCGGGTCTTGTCTTCGGGGCTTCTCTTCCAGGCGACGACTTCGTGTCTTCATTCATACAACAGCAGCCGGCCCCGTTCAGGGCTCCGGCTTATATTGTCAGTGGCGGGCTTGTTCCGCCCCGAGCCACACCCGCCTTCTGGAAGCTCCCAGAAGGATCTCGATTGGACTTGTGGTCCCCCAGCCCCCTCTTTGGGGGCCCCCCCAGTCGGTACCTCCGGTCACGTGTGTTGCGGGTTCACTCAGAGTGCCGTGGCCCCTTGTGAACCCCGCACCGCCCCCTAACCTCTGTGGGCTGGCACTGCACGTGGAGTGCAGTGCCAGCCATCTCTGACAAGTGATCTCAGCCGGCCCCCGCTAGGGCCGGCACTGCATCCACATTGCAGGGCCGATGGTGGTGTGCACGCCGTATATCTCGTGCCTCTCACACGGGCCGGCTCACACCACATGCAGAGGCATCCCACGATGCCACAACACATGTAAAAATGTCAATTTTTATAGTGTAATTACATTACCACACCTTGTAATTAAGTGGCAGCTGCATGCTCATCCAAGTGCATTATTACTCATGGGACTTTGCATCAGCAAGGACTTATTTTGTTCCCATGGACCTCTGCTTTCGACTTATGAAACCACAACCTGTCTTAAATTAGTTCAATCATTAATTTGATTACAACCACAATCCTCTGTAAATAAAACATGTGCACCATAATTCGCATGTCTGCATATCATTTAATGGGTAGGCTGAAGGTGCCACCCTACAATTAAGTAATGAAGTGCTCACACCACACCACACTGATGGCCGTGGGTATTTTTTCACTGCTCTCGTCACGGCAGTCAGGCGTCTTGGTAGAGGTGGGAGCAGCCCACGTGTTACCCCACGACATGTGACTTGTCAATCGGATAACCGTGGTGTCCCCATTTGTACTACTGGGTGTACTACAGGCCCTGGGGCGGGGGGTGGCGGTTAAGAAAATGTGCTCTTTGTTGCAACTACCGCACTGCAAGATGAAACCGGAGACCTCGAGATTGCAATTCCAGCTATTTCAGGATTACACCACGAGCAGATTTCCTAAACAATTTAGTACATAACCATGGATCCACCTCGTTTGCAGTCTGTTACATAAATTAGATGCTGTTATTTACAAACACACAGCGCCGCTTGTTGTGCTGAACTGCTCTTTGCCGTTTTGACGGTAGCAGCTGCCTGGACAGGTTTGGTAAGCGAGAGGGAATGCACTCAGCACGGGGAGGGGGAGATTCTACCGTCTCCTGCCTCTGGCAGATCCGGCATTCAAAATTAGTGACTTTTGGATAAAGCGAGGAATGTGTCCTGTAAAATAACCTCCAGAGTGTTCATTCATACGACCGTGAAGATTATTTTCACAAATGCGTGAAACACGGACAGTTGCATTTCGTTTCACACCGAAGTTTGTGTGTGTGTAAATCATCTGTGGGGAGCGGTAGTGTCGCGGTTAGCGTTCTGCGCTACGAACCTGGCGACCCAACACCATTGACGATTATCTGAACCGGTCCTGGGCCTCCCCTAGGTCGACTCAACCTCAAATGAGTACCTGGTGAGGTGTGTAAACATCGCCACTAGGGAGACAAAGGCGGCCAGGGCGTGGTGCTGACCACCCACCCCCTTGTGTGCCGTGCCGGCCTTCATAGGTGCTCGCTAACAGCACTTGTCCCAACAGTCTGTTCAGGCTATACGGGGGATCTTTGTGTGTCTTTGTAAATATCATCATCAGCCATGGTGAATCCACTGCTGGATGAAGGCCTCCCCAAGCTGCTGCCGTCTCGCATGACCTACGATACGAAGTCTGTCTAAAAACAGCCATTAAAAACGAGAACACTTGATATCGTAACTATAGGGGAGGCTGTGATTGTAATGAGTGAATATGATGAAACCCGTTGAGCTAATTTAAAGATGATAATGCTGATGCGCCCGAAGACACCAGGAATAAAAAAATAAAAATGGGAGTGTGACTAATGCATCCTGGGAATATGCCAGAAATGTTGACAGGGTGATTTATTTATTGATGGGTTTTTTTATTGTATTATGCAACAATTTTTTCATCTGTGACAGACTCCAGGACTAGATAATATCAACGATTTGTTGAGCTCAATATATTTACACTGCAATACTACGTGGAGTATTATATAGCATTTTATAGAGTGCTTACATGCAACTGCATCTCAACACCGTACAAAACAGTGGTACGTGAATAATCATGGCAAATGAGGTATGCTTTTGCATATTGTCTGACCAGCGTGGTGAAGTATGGCCAAATAACCCCCATGGCCGAACACGTGTGTGGGAAGGCCTTCATCCAGCAGTGGATTGCGAAGGGCTGAACGATGTTTTCATGGTTACTAGTTGAGAACCCGTGGCTCTGCAAAAGCAAATAAGAGACAGCTGTCATTTTCATACCCTTCTTACAATCCTGTTCTCTGAACTCTACAAATAATCTGCCTTTTTAGCATAACAAAATGCCAAGATATTATGAAATTTCAGGTTTTCATATATATTCGTACTCTAGGATGTAAAGAATATTCTGGCGAAGTAAATTAATAGGAATACAAATTGAAACGATATAGCAAATTTAAATGAACCATGTCAGTCTTCTCTATCTGTTATTCCCACTCCTTCGGTGTCGCTGTCTTTTATTAAATGTCTTCTGAGCTTTTTTTCTCCCAATTTCAATTCAACTCAGTGTTTTATTTGTTTCACGGAAAATACCGTTTTAGCCAGTTACCCAGCTAGCTTCTGTGGCAATGTCCCACAGCCATTAACAGTGACATTGGGGTCGTGAGGAGCCCAGCCAGCAACCAGCCAGGGAACTCAAGGCATAGATTATTATAAATGTATTGTCATAATTTAAATGTATCATTATCACCAAAGCACTTCCAACATTATCTTCAACAATCGGCAGTTGAGTGGCATTAATTAATCTCACTCACAATTTGGGGAAGCCATTCGAATTTAATAATAAAGTACCCTGCGTCTTTTAACATGGTGGAGAATTGTAGCACCTCTAGCGGCTGCAGGGGTCACGTGGATAATTGCACGTGTGCAAAAGGAATGTAATCAATGTTCACACAAACAATTTATACAAGAAATAAAGAAAGTAGCCTTATACCAGACTGCAATCTGTATCTAACAGATCTCTCTTTATTTATTGTCAACTTGGAATATGTTTCTGTTCTGTTTACAACCAGGTTCAACAATAATGCAAAATGGTAACTATATAACTTATACTAATGTTTCTACAGTAGCATATTTTATACTGAGCAAGAGTAAGGAATTAATTATCGTGTAAAACAAGCCGTGGATGATAGCCCCATCATCCAATCAATGTTTAAACTCATTATATTTCAAGCACCAGCAAGGCCTTGCGTTCTGGGAATCTAGCAAGGCAGCGTTGCGTGTGTTGAACTCTGCTTGCCCGTTTTTTACAATGCCTCTTTCGCACACATCGAGGGACACCTGTACGTATGTCGAACATCTTTCATATCGTATGTAGCCATCGTGCTAATCGGAGGTGCGTGAATACGAGAACTCTTCCCTAACATCTCAATGCAATGACAGTAAAATTGTGTTAGCCGTGGCTTGGCAGTGCCTTATCCGGCATCACCGAACAGTGCGATTAGGCCGCTTTACTCCGTGTTGATTCTTTGCAATTTTATTTTCAGCGGGGACACATCATCGCCGGCCGTCTGTGACTGAACCCTAATACGGGAGGAACCAAGCGCTCTGGTCCGTGTTTTAGCAATAGCCGAAAGTCAGGTGTGGTCACGGGTAAAGGTGGAACGTGTTCGTTCGAAGACGATTTTCAAGGATCTCTGAACCAGCCTTGCCCTACAGAAAACTCTTAGTCAGTGGTTATTTTTTCTCAACCTCAAATGACCCGTATGCATATTAATAAAAAACAACTCCAAGACGAACAAGGGCGTGATACGTGCACACGGTGCACTGTGTTAATCCAGCTTCTCATGCTGCATGAATGCAATCAGTAGAGGGTAGTATGGGGCAATGCTTACATTGTTTGAGTATGTAAAACCTCGTTAACTCAGCTCATTTGTCTTATTATACTCGTAAGCACGAATAATTATGCAAGAAATTGATCAGCAAGGGCTGCAACACTTGGCCAAAATGTGTTACTTGACTCCAAATACACTCTTATCTGTGACAATGAATTGGGAGGTGGCTTTACGTAATGCGGTCACACACGCACGCATCAACACGATAAGCCAATCAAATGAAAGGAAAACGAGCAAAAAAATAAAACATGAGAATGAATGGTTGTTGCTCTTCCCCGAGCCGTGGCTGCAGTCCCGTGGCATGTCAACCATCCAGACCTCGTGCCCAGCGGCAGAAACGGGGCGGGAGTCTTCCTCGGTGTACGCTGGGCGAGCCCCGCCAATCGGCAGTGTGCACCTCAGATCGGCTTAGTGTCGGCTCAGAGATTTGCAAACGCGTCTGTTTCGCGTCGGGGAGCGAACGGCTCGGACAGGTGTTCGCGGTACCTGATCGTATCTGAAAGTCGTTTGTGTGTGTTTTATATACACACGAGCATCTCTGAAGGTATAATTAGCTCCGATAGGTATTCTTTGTCATTTAGAAAGCTGTGTTTTTTTTAAATATATATTTGCGTCGATTTCAACGAGAAAAAGTTTTTACCACCCCCTCCCCCCCGCTGACTGCGATGGGAAACTCGTTAGGCTGTGTCGACAACCAGGAGCTGGATTTCGATCCAACAAAGGCTCCGCTTGAAGCCACCTCGGAGGTCGTCAACAAGACGTACAAGGGCAAGAAGAAAAATAAGTACACACTGAAGAAGCGCTTATGGTTATCAGACCCAGAGGCTCTAGCAAAGGAAACGGCAATACCAGTGGATGAAGTTTCACTCAGCACTGCTGTCCTAAACGAGTTTGATTTACTGTCTGCGCAAGATGACGGGAGAGTCAAGGCGCGGCTATCGAAACACAGCAACATTAGTTCGCTGGAAGAGGCTTTGGATGCTCAAGATGAAGCTAACCAGGGTGAAGAGGAGGAGGAGGAGGAAGAAGTGAAAGAGGTCATCAAGGAGACTGAGGTCGAGGGAGTGAAGGTGACCATAATTGAACGCACGAAAAGCAAAGTCTCAAAGTCTTCTATGCAGGATTCGGTGTCCGAGATGGATCAATTGCAGTGTGGAGAATTGTCCAAGGATGACGGCAGCCTGGTTTCTACCGGAGGCTCGGGACTCAAACGGGGTTCCACGTCCAAGAAGACCATGATCACCACGGAGATAGTGCTTCAGGAGATCGCCAGTGACGCTGACGTCGGCAAGTCGGCAAGTATGTCACGCTTGGAACAGGTGCCAAGAGCCAAGAGCGGGGACCACATTGCCGGTCAGATTCACGCAATCAGCTTGCACTCGGTTGTTGACCGGAAGGACAGGCGTGGAAAGGACGACCTGGCATCTGCATTCCAAACTTCGCCAACTTCACCGACCTCTGGACCCAATCCAGGGCAGAGGCGGCAGATTTTAGGAGAAGATGGAAATGAGTCGCCGTTAAGCGACAAGCATCGCGCCGCTGGGGTCACAAGTAGGGGTGGAATGGTTCCAATTGGGGCAGAAAGATACGGCTCGTCAAATGCAGACTTCAATGGGAGTAGCGTATCTACGTTGAGTGACCCAGACTCTGGTAATTTTGGGCAGAGTGTGGGAAAACTGAGTCAGATGAGCCCTGCAAAACGCCGATTTTTCGACCTCGAGCAACCGGTTAATATTCATCCTGCCATCTCCACGACAGAGGGTGACACGTTAGTCACTCCGCTGAAAGGCAAGCAAGAGAGGTCTAATGGTAAAGAAGATGTGTCTGCAAACCTCAGCGGCCTCGGCCTTGCCATGCAAAGCAAGGCTCCATTAGGTTCAATGAAAGTCCAAGACGGAGAATCGTTGGGTGAATCAAATGCGCCTGTAAAGCGAGCGGCCACGCTGAATGAGGGACATGCAACTGGGAATGCTGATGGATGGTTGAAGGAAGATTTAGCCGCTCAAGACAACGCCGTTCCTTTTGAAGTCGAAATGGAGAGTGCTACCCCTGCTCTTGAAGCCAGAGATTCATCGCATGAAATGGTACTTCTTATTGCGTATTCTTAACTGCGGTACTGTCTGTTTATTTAGTGTGGTTTTTGTGGGTGTGTGCAAATATGCTTCGAACATTGTTTTTGCCAGCTGTGCTAAATGCAGTGTGTATTAAGCTGGAGGAATTGCTTCGATGACTCAACATATTGAAAAGAATGCACCAACACCCATTTCTTAGTCACGATGCTTAAGTTTAGATACTAAAAATAGTTGCCCACAAAAATGCCTTTTCTGGAACCTGTTTTCCACTTCGTACAGTTGTCGTATTTAAGAAGGGTGAAACGACGCTCGGCATGTTAATATTTAATGTAAATCAATCGCTTCATACGGCATGCGTTCGAGAACATTTAAAAATAACGTTTTCCTTGCAGTGTTGTCCTAAGCGAGGTAGATATATGTTGAACTTCTGTTGCACCGTACTCAGTCAACCGCGCTAAATGGTCTGGGACTCTGGAATTTTCCAGGTAAACAAACTCTGCTCACGTTTTCTTCAAAAACCTGCTGGGATAAGCTACTGTTGGAAAGTGACAATAATGACAAAGGCAGCCTAATCTGTAATTAGAGGTTCATTTGGCTTTTTGCTGGGAGTGCATTCAACTTTTAATTCGGCCATGTACCACCCAGTAAAACGTAAACATGGAACGCTGGGTCCAACGATGGGCCAATATTTCCAACCACGTATGTATGTATATGTGTAGAACTTCTTTCGCACCGTACATAGCAAACCACATGCCAAGGTTGGCCGAATGTTGGCTCAACGTTGCCATGTTTACTGGGTACAAGCCGTCTACCCTGTGGCGAGATGTGAACTCTCGCCTGGTATGCAGGAGGGTCGTGGGTTCGATACCGACCCTGACGCCTGTGAATTTGGAGTTTACGTGTTCTCACCGTGGTCGCGTGGATTTTTGTCCATGTCCTCCATATTTAGAAATATGCGTTTATATTATTTAGCTGCTATAAATGTCCACGTGAGTAGCCACTTCATTGAGGTGTCATTTGTGGCCAGGTCGCTTCTGAAAAAGAGCTACATAGCTCAGTCGGCCTTACCTGGTAAAATAAAAAAAAATTGTTTAGTTTAGTTTCCAGTAGCATGCAAATTGAGTAAAAAACGAAAGACGAGTGTGAGTGCACTCGAACGTCACCAACAGCCATGCACCAACGCAGAGGGTACAATTTGACCGTCTCTTTGTCGAGAGATAAGGCCATTTGATCGTATTTTCTATGAATTAAACGTACAGTACAATGTCACATATCTGACGTCACCACATCTGCCCAGATCAATTAAACGTCCACACCCAGTGAACTATTTGCGCATGATGGTGTAACTAATATTATTAAACAAACGACCTCACAGACAGGAACGCAATCTTAACCTCGTGTACCCTTAACTTCTATTGCACGGCGAATAGTGATAGTAATAATGACGATGATGATGATGATGTTGTTGTTGTCCCCGTGCTCAGGAAGTGTGAGCTGTGTTTTGTCTGGTAGCCTGTGTGTGTGCACGTGCTGCTGCCAATCTCTCTCAATGTTCACATTTTCCATTTTTCACATGCCCACCTGTATTCTCAGTCCCACGGGAAGTCGGGTAGGTGATTTTCATACGTCATTAAAGCCTCTCTACTTTTTTTAATTGGGGCATTGCCTTAACGTGGCGACACAAATGAAGAACCTTGAAAAACCTGAGGAGTTGTACCGTGGAGGATAACCCACATCAGTCGCACCACAGTCCTCAGTGAGAGGCGAGACAAAATGTGTTCCCTTCACCAGCCCACATTGACCAGCCTGGTGAAGTATGGTTCGACAATGCCCATGACCGACGACGCACTTAAAACCAAAGCCCCCAGTCTCAAGCAGCTCTGGATCCACCAGCCATGGCATTGGCTGGGTAGGTGAAGGAGCAGGGGATGATAGGAATCCACTGGGCAAGAACCACACGCAGCCTCTCTGGATTGCAACATTGCTACGTTACACACACAGACCCTGCCGGTGAATCGGATACAGAATTGGGAGCATTATTTGAAGAACACTCAATCTTCTGACATTAGAAGCCGACTGGAACTCTGTGCTTTTACATCTACACTAGCTGTACTACCCGGCTTCGCCCGGGACTTGTATCTACCACGGCCGGCCGCCTTTGTCTCCCCAGTGGCGATGTTAATACGCTACAGTAGTTAAGTTACTCGTTTGAGGCAGAGTCGACCTAGGGGAGGTTCAAATAATCGTCACCGGTGGTGGCCGTGAGCGGGAATCGAACTGGGTTTGCCGGGTTGGTAGCGCAGCGTAGCGTTAAGCACTACACCCACCGCTCCTCACACACCACACACGCACAGACACACACACAGACACACACACAGACACACGCAGACACACACAGACAGAAACACACACACAGACAGCACGCTAACCACTACACTACCGCTCCCCACACACGCACACACACAGACACACACACAGACACACACACAGACACACACACACAGACACAGGCAGCACGCTAAGCACTACACTACCGTTCCCCCTACACAACACACGCGCGCGCGTCCATAGGTACACATACACGCGCTTGCTGCAGACACACACGACTTTCAGGGTGCATACGGCAGTAAACGACTGAAATAATAAAGCGGCAATGCTGTGTAAGGAACGCCTTAGACCCGCATTATACATTTGTGTAATGCGAGCGTAAACACACAAACACACACAAACACATACACAATACACACACATACATGCAGACACACAGACAGACACATAACACACATACATACACACACATACAAACACAGAAACACATACACACACATACATAGACACACACATACATACACACAAACACATCCACAGACGTACATACACACATACATACAGGCACGCAGACATACACAAACACATACAAAAAAACCCACATACATACACACACACATACATACACACAAACACATGCACACACATACATACACACATGCATACAGACACACAGACATACACATAAACACATACACACATACACATGACCCGGCTTCGCCCGGGACTTGGATCCACCACGGCGGCAAAACCGACATACATACACACACAGACATACACACAAACACATACACACACACTACATACACACATGCATACAGACATACACATAAACACATAAACACATACACATGACCCGGCTTCGCCCGGGACTTGGATCTACCACGCCCAGCCGCCTTTGTCTCCCAAGTGCCGATGTTAATACGCCACACCAGTTACTCGTTTGAGGCTGAGTGGACCTAGGGGAGGTTCAAATAATCGTCACCGGTGGTGGCCGTGAGCGGGAATGGAACTGGGTTCGCCGGGTTGGTAGCGCAGCGTAGCGTTAAGCACTACACCCACCGCTCCTCACACACCACACACGCACAGACACACACACAGACACACGCAGACACACACAGACAGACACACACACACACAGACACACAGACAGCACGCTAAGCACTACACTACCGCTCCCCACACCACACACGCACACACACAGACACACACACACAGACAGACACAGACAGACACACACAGACACACACAGACACAGACAGCACGCTAAGCACTACACTACCGTTCCCCCTACACAACACACGCGCGCGCGTCCATAGGTACACATACACGCGCTTGCTGCAGACACACACGACTTTCAGGGTGCGTAAGGCAGTAAACGACTGAAATAATAAAGCGGCAATGCTGTGCGAGGAACGCCTTAGACCAGCAACACATTTGTGTAATGCGAGCGTAAACACACAAACACATACAAACACATACACACACATACATACACACACATACACACAAACACATACACACAAACACACATACATGCACACAAACACATACACAATACACACACACATACATGCAGACACAGACAGACACATAACACACATACATACACACACATACATAGACAAAGATAAAGATCCCCCGTATAGCCTGAACAGACTGTAGGGGCAAGTGCTGTTAGCGAGCACCTATGAAGGCCGGAACGGTACACGAGGGGGTGGGTGGCCAGCACCACGCCCGACCGCCTTTGTCTCCCTAGTGGCGATGTTTACACACCACACCAGGTACTCATTTAAGGCTGAGTCGACCTAGGGGAGGCCCAGGACCGGTTCAGATAATCGTCACTGGTGTTAGCCGTGAGCGGGAATCGAACCCGGGTCGCCAGGTTCATAGCGCAGCGCGCTAACCGCTACACTACCGCTCCCCACACATACATAGACACACACATACATAGACACACACATACATACACACAAACACATGCACACACGTACATACACACATACATAGAGACACGCAGACATACACATAAAGACATAAAAAAAACCCACATACATACACACACACATACACACAAACACATACATACACATACATACACACATACATAGAGACACACAGACATACACATAAACACAAACACACATACACATGACCCGGCTTCGCCCGGGACTTGGATCCACGATGCCCCGCCGCCTTTGTCTCCCCAGTGACGATGTTCACACACGACAGCAGTTACGCTTTTGAGGCTGAGTGGACCTAGGGGAGGGCCAGGTCCGTTTCAAATAATCGTCAGCGGTGGTGGGCGTGAGTTGGAATCGAACTGGGGTCGCTCAAGCAGCTTAATGACTGTTTGTACAAAGAACATATAAAGAATCGATTATAATAACCAGGCAAGAGTCCACATTATAGACTGCCAGTACACGCACTCAGCTTCATAAGCAGGCTAGAGTGTACATGATAGAGTGGCAGTACGCTCACCGAGCTTAATAAGCAGGCTACAGTGTACATGATAGACTGGCAGTACGCTCACCCAGCTTAATGAGTATTTGTACAGTGAACATTAAAGTAATCGATTGTTGGCGCGTTGGGTTTAAAAGTAATATTAATAGCACACATTGTGGTGGGGGTGTAGTGAAGAGTAGGAAAAACTTTGATGAATTTACCTCAGAGTGGCGTGGTGGGTGTCGAGGCCTAGTAGCGTGCAAAGCCTGCGGCCTCGCCTAAAATTGTCGGCTTGGAAAAGGCAGGGTACGGGTGGCGTTCCTTCCCCCCCCCCCCCTAGCGCTCCAACAATACTGTGTAATGGCTATTATTTAATTAAATACGGAGCTTATGAAAGTGGCGAAGGCGTGGCTAGCCGTTGGCAGGGGCAACCGCCGTCCAATGAAACTGCAGCCCTTGGCGAAGGCGTGGCTAGCCGTTGCCAGGTCCAATGAAAGCGGCGAAGGCGTGGCTAGCCGTTGCCAGGGGCAACCGCCGTCCAATGAAAGTGCGTATGGGCCAAAGTCCACACACACACACAGACAGACAGACATGAACGATTTTATATATATAGATTGCAAACTCATTTATTAACGACTGTTACTTGTGCAGAGTTTTGTTGTCCCTCTCCTGCACCTCTGATTAGCATAGTTGCCTAAAAGTTCGACGTACATACAGGTTTCTCTCGTTGTATGCGGTAGCTGCATTCCAGAAAAGGGCGCACAAAGCGAAACATACAGTCCACACAGTCCCACGTCCGACAGCATCGCCGCATATGAGTGAATTCAAACCGCATATTGCGAATTTTGGGTATAAATAGGTTAGTCACATTTACGCGAAATCGCACAAACCGAACCTGCATAAAGCTGAGTGAAACTTGTACATATAAGACACAGTAAAGAAGAGAACTCCATACATTTAAATATTGGCAGCTCGCGTACAGGAACTGTGATGGGTTGTGGCATGGCAATCCTGTGTGAAATATGGTGACGGTTTGGGAAAGCCTTCGTGCAGCAGTGGACCGGCCATGGCTGATGATGAGGCTCCTTACATAGACTTCGATGGGGTTCACTGCTCCTGAGCTCACAACATACGCCCCCCCCCCCCGCCTGTTCAGTTGTACACTTGTCTAAAATGACAAACATTGACAGGTCACGGGGAGAGATATCTGGGTTGAAGGGAGGCCATGGATTGAGCTTCAAGGGGGTGGTGAGCAGTGAGTGAAGATGTTGGCAAAGGAGCAGGTCAGCACAGTTTGGCCAGTCATATGTTAAATGTCACCATTTACATAAGGGGTGGTATGGGGACAGATCGAGTGATCTTTAACAGAGAACACTGCGCCATTTGACGTATCGTTTTATAATTTGCATTTTAATCAATAATTCGCTGCCAATACAAATATCGGTTTGAAAGTTAAATGTTGCTCACGTTGAAAGCTGATATGTTTATAAACACCGTTCAGATGAACCAACACAGTGCAGGAAAATGCTAACTTTGCTGAGGCCACAGTCGATTGGATTGTTGGCCAGGTCTGAAACCTGTCTTACCACTGAGCCTTTATTTAAATACACACCACTGCGGCCCCATTGTATTCACAAGCCGAATGCACTTTTAAATTACCACAGCAATAAAGGTCACTGGTATATGCACCTACCTTAAACTTGTTTAACTTGTAAGGGTGTGTTGAGAATACAAAAAAGAGAATGTGTAATAACTGATGAAAATGAAATAAGCATTAATTTAATAATTTTAACCTATTTACATGATTTTACCGAAATACTTTACCGAAAGACCCAAAGAATAGGAATTCCTACAGTTACGAAAGCTTTAAGTCAGGTTTTAACGTGTAATAAATTGGCAATTTAAAAGGCATTTTAGGAAACAGTAACATTTATCATTCGTTTTCCTTGTAGTTAAATGCAAATGGATACATTTTTGTTTTACTGCTAAAAAAGTGGACAGTATTCCAATCTAACATATCTCTCCCATCACATAAAACATTAACGTCTTTTATTTAAACATCCCATCAGCCTCTCGACCTTCTTGGAGTGCAACATTCAGCAGTATTAGTTTCACTCAAGCAAAACTCTGGACCGGATTTAACATCCAGTGTCTCATCAGCAGAGCCAGGCTTTCGATTTAAAGCTTTCGTGACTGCAGGGATTCATCTTCTTGGTTCTTTCGGTATATTATATTATTTTATTATGTTTTATTTTTATTATTTTATTACTTCCCTTCTACGTGACTTTACCGAAAGAACCAAGAAGAAGAGCCAGGCTTGATTTATTCAATGATTCAACACAAGCAAAACTCTGGACCGGTTTTGAAGTGCAGTGTCTCATTCGCAGTCAGACTTGCTTGAAGCAATGCTGGTGAACGGCCAGATGTCTAGCCAAAAACCCTCTCTGTTTGATATGGATCCTAGTTTGACGCAACACTATACACGTAATACGTTATATAAAATTATCGTCAGGACTTGCGGAGAAGATAAGTAATTAAATAAGCAGACAACACACCTCATTTACACAGTTGTACCTCAACATGAGTAAGACGTGTTGTATTTTAACTCATTCAAGCTAAAGAATGGCTCTTCCATGTTTGCAAATTACTTCTATAAATTCTAAATATAACACTGATGATGACTCAATGGCATGCCAGCACAATGTAAACACATTCCTTTTTATTCAAGTTAATTGTAGAATAATCTTGATAATTATTAATATACGTTAATGAACACATTTATACTTCAATTAACAGATTATAAAATTAATACAAATTTTATTTCTAAACGAATTAAAATAAATGTATGTTTGTTTCAGATTTATTTTGATATGTTTGAGTTAATTGCGTGTACCAAAACCGTACGTTAGACTTTGACCTGATGACTTAACAATGTGGTCATTTTTTGTGATTTCAATTCACTTTATCATTCGAGTAAGTGCTGCTTATTCAATTAAAACGCGTTTGTAAAATTGACAAGACAGATGAATATACATACCTTCTTCCTTAAGAGCCATATCCTACTCGTGAAATAGATACGCACATGCAAATATGTTCTTTATATTTCAACTAATAATTGCATTTCGGATGCAGTGAATGGGATTTTAATTTGAAATCAACTACACGTGATGGATACTATCCAATCATAGACAGTCACTGCAAAAAATGCACAGATCCGAGTAGACACGATGCCACTAACAGCCGTTAAAGATATATAATTCTGCCATTTCATATTTTAATTTGAATAAGCCGAGTTATTCTTTCAGCTTAATGCATACGCAAGGTTTAGAGACATCGTTCAAACTACGAGGAAAAAGTGTGGGCTTGGGCAGGACCTCGTCGCAAGAAGGGATGATGGTCGATGAACAAGAATCATGACGGAGTGGCAGCCAAGGCATGGAATGAGTTGAGGTCATTTACTTGCGGTGAAATTAAATGGCAGGGCCCCTTTCTTTAGAATGCAACGAAAACACACGGCAATTGATCGTCTCATTCGCCATCGACTGCACCTCGTGTTTGCTGACATCGGATCTGGGCTTTTGAGATGACAGGTCACATTGCGGCATGATTAAAATAGCACGTCGATGGGTCGTGCTCTTTAAATCTGCACGCGATCATCAGCCTCTTCGTTGAGCTATCATTTGTGGCCAGGTCGCTTCTGAAAAATAGGTTAATACCTCAGTGGCCTTTGCCTGGTAAGATAAAAGATTAGTCTTATTTGTAGATTTTTAAGTGAATAGTTTACCCTTCCTATACTTTGGACTCCTATCGTGTCTTTGTATTTGTTCGCTGTTGTTACATTCTGACCTCGTGCCTCTACTGGACATCTGTTGAAAAAGAGCTTCATAGCTCATCAGATTCCTCCTGCAGTATAAATACATATTCTGAATCTAATGAGGACGAGTGGCCTCCCTGTTTGTCTCGAGGGCAGGTGTCGGCGGGGCAGGCGGGTGGCACGCCAGGCAGGGAGCGGCTACTGGCTTGGGCGCGGCTGGTCGCAAAGGATGTCCCCGGGCTGTCGTGCCACAACTTCTCGAGCAGCTGGAGGGACGGGCGGCTGCTCTGCGCCATCGTCCACGCGCACAGGTGTGACCCCTCGCGGGACTCTTCAAAACATCCCGGCGTGGGCAAAACCCACTCTTTATCCGCCACTGGCATTATCGGCAACTTCTAAACTATTTTTTTATTTTAGCAGGTAAGGCTCACTGAGCTATACTGCTTAGATTTTTTTCAGCAGCGGCTTAGCCAAAAATGAAAGGCCAATTGTCTTCTTTCGTATGGCTGATGTAGCTGCAGAGCAGCAACCACAATTTCACATTTTAGGTGGTCAAGTCAGACAACCGCGTCAGGAGCAGCGAAGTGTATCGCTGTGAAGTATCCTTCGTCTTTGTGGGCATTGCATCGTTATACTTCGTATGGTCTGTTCTGGATGACCACAGTCGCACACTGGAGAGCCCAGTAGCCCCATGAAGTGGTTTATGGAAATTCATAGCAGCCAAAGTCTCGAAACGCATGTTTAGAAACGTTGAGGGAAAACCGGAAGATTCCCGGAGAAAAATCCTCGCGACCACGGGGAGAAAATGCACACTTGCAAAGCCAGTGGGGGGGGGGGGGGGGGGTTGGGAGGTGGGGTGGCACGTTCCCCCCCCCAATGATCCGATTGAAATCCATAATTTCGATCGGATCATTGGGGTTTATTAGTAATAAATCGGCATTTTGCGACCCCCACTGCCACTGTGTAGCATATTATTACGTGCCAGGGCCTCTGAGATGATAGGACAATAGTCTGAGTCCATATTTGGCAATAAGTAACGGCAAAGCAGTTATTAGTGACTCAGAATTGTGCGCAGTTGCGTATTCAGTACACGACTTCTCTGAAGGCATTCACCTTCAGCGAGCGCGATGCCGATCACACACGGTTTGAATTCGACCCTCGATCGATGGCTGCGCCATCGCCGCACACACGGCGAATAAAAAGCAAGGGACAAGTCCTTACTAACAACTCCTATATCATTTTTCATTGCTAGAGGGGTTGCCCCCCCCCCCCCTATCTGAAAATCCTGGCTCCGCCACTGAACATGCAAACTTCAAATATACAGGCATCATGGTCAGGATTGAACCCACGGCCTCCTGTATACCAGGCGAGGTAGCTAACATATCGCCACCACGTTGCCCTCAACTTCCATGGCAAGTGTAGAAGAGTAGGCCAAACACATGCATAGTTGCTCACTCAAGCTCCTTCTATTGGGAGGTGTTTGCACCAGCAGTGGCATAAGTAAATAATTGCAGGCCGGCAACCATTTATTATATGTGGCCCTTAATCGATCGGAAATAAATTCCTATCATCTGTGTTTTGTTGCAGATGAGAGGATTCACGTGAGAATGTCGTCTGATTGTGTTTCTACCTCACTTTAGTTGTTGTAGTGGGTGATAAATTCATCCTCCTGCCTGCGTGACCTCACAGATAAATGAGTTACGCAGAAGAAAACCTGGAATCCATTTCATTGCGATGGTGTTATTCAAAACAAATTGCAATCCAATTGTATTTCCCATCTCAGCAAGCAGTGTTATTTTTCTAATTGTGATTATAATTGACCCCATGTCCGCCTAGAAGTGGCGGTATATTCGTCCCATTCACATTTATTCCCCAGTGACGGTGTAGGTCAGAGGAGGTATTTTTTGTGTGGAGAGACACAAATAATATTATCTGCCAGTAGTGGCTCCCCACACCCTCCCCACATTAACAACGGCATGAGAAGAAAAAATTGCTGTACTCCCAAATCCTTGGGTGCATTTTGAGGTGTTGTACTAATTTATCTCAGTGGGGGCAGTGCTGGGACACACAAACGTCCAAAAGAAAATAAAAAACTCCTTAAATAAAGTTTTTAAAAACAACGGTTTTATTAACAACTTCGTTTAACTCACAGTCTTCGAGAATTACGTCGATGGCGCCTGAGACACGCTGCGCCTGCTTTTTGTGCGAGCCGATTCCACAGTTTAGGGACCGCGGCATTTTTGAGCTACATAAAAATAAATAAATAATAAGCCGTCCATACAAAAATTGTAATTGCTTGAAAGGAGGCAATTTAATTGACGAATTGATGCCGATTTTCATACAGGCATGAATTGTCACCGGATCTGAGTACGCGTGAAAAATTTGGAATTGATTGGACAACAGGAAGTATAATAACTTTTGATGACAAGATTTGACCACGACAAACACAAGTGAAGTTAAATAAAAGCGTTGAAAAACCCCGCAGCTGTGTCATACATGTCTGCTGCCATCATAACGAAGACGAAGATCCCCCGTATAGCCTTCAACGACTGTTGGGGAAAGTGCTGTTAGCCAGCACCTACGAAGGCCGGCACGGCACACGACAGGGTGGGTGGCCAGCACCACGCCTGGCCGCCTTTGTGTCCATAGTGGCGATGTACACACACCGCACCAGGTACTCATTTTAAGCTGAGTCGACCTAGGGGATGCCCAAGACCATCATAACAAGCACTGCATTGAAACCATATGCACAGGGTGATTCATCTACAGATACCTCACTGATTTCGAAATGCGCTCTTACTTTCTTTTAAACGGGTCTTTGAATAGTATTACAGCGTTGGCTTTGTTGGACAAGGTGTATCCGGAGACTGTTAAACATTGAATGCGTGTATAGAGTTTGGCAGGGAGACAATTAGAGCCTTTGAATTCAAGTGTAGTTTTCTCTGTAATGTATTCTAATTATGTTAGTGGGGTATCTATACATGGGTCTCCCTGTATACTCATGCTGTCAGCAGAGGCCCCTCCAATTAACATGGCTGGCTACATACAGTGCGAAAGAAATGCAACAAACATACATTACAACGCAACAGATTGTGAATTATACAGCGTGGCCCAAAAGTCATGACATTTATTTCAACAAATCACAAAGGGTTATTTGATTTATTTCAACAAATGTTGACTTTCATTAACATGAATACATGCACTAATTCTCTTTTCATATGGATTTAGGACTTCTTTTTTTAATTACAGGTGTAATCTTTGAGCATTCATTCATTGTGTTTAGTTTGAATTAATTCAGGGTTCTTGGTCAAGTTTAGCAAACGACTGATTGGAGGTGACTCCACAAGAAGAATAAAAATAGATAATGATGATACTTATAGATAAAATATCAACTTAAAGATTGAAACATTCAAATGTTTAAATGCCAGTGTTCAAATACATTAAATCACCCTATGTGTCCTGACTTTTGGACCACCCAATAGTTTGGGGGACAGGCTTTTACAGCAGAGAATATCTACTTCCATGCCATCTCTGTCCCTCACACGTCATTTAGCCTAAGAACATTTCATTATTTAGTTTAATAGCTTTTAAATGTGGATCCTGAGCTTTTGTTCATGTCGCTTGACAGCGGTAAATGTAGATAGATGAAGAAATAAACAGGAAAGTAAGTAAACGATTCTACATATGTGCAGGTGTTTGCGATTGTGCTGTGCCACGTATTTTTAGGCTGTACCGCGTGTTCGGCGGCATATTCCGCACCTCCGATTAGCACGGTTGGCTACGTACGCGAAATAAGTTCAGCAGACATGCATATTCGACATTTTCTCTCCACGTGCTGAGCAAGTGAAAAAGCTCCCAGCACTTGGTAGCGATATATACAACCCGACGACACATCGGAGGGCTTGATGTTTACAGAGGTAATATATCGGAGTAAATATACGGGCAGATGCACATAAAACACACGTACTTTAGCCGAGATCTGTGAAGATGCCGTGTGCATTTATCCCTTGAGTGTTGACAGCAGCCAGTGAGTGAGTGGTGGCATCGGGCATTGCAAAGTGAAGTCAATTGCAGAGATGTGATCCGTGACATGTATGATCACACCCCTTGCCAATTAAAATAGGGTTGCCGGCGGTTTACCCGTCCCAGTTCTGTCTCATACATATCTTTTTTTAGTTCATAGGACCGCGTTGAAGTACACATTGTTTTTTTTATGAGCGATTGAATGCCGCGTGCCCAACGACCTTCACATTTAAGTAAGCGAGGTGTGTCTTCCCGGAGGGAGAACAAAAATCCATTTATGTGCTCCAAAATAACGATGTCAGCGCAGCGATTAAACTTATACGGTGGTTCTGCCCAAAGCAAAGTTGCCAAGCCAAATCGTTGGTAGAATGCAGTCTTCTAAACACATACCTTCACCATTCGCAGTGCTTTCCTTTAATTATCCTCTGACAACTTTTATCACTTGTTTATGGCATGCACCTTCTGTTTTCGCTGGTTTTTTAAATAGTTTTTTTCGCCTGTCAATTTACCTCATTTTGTTCTCATTAACGCGATACGGACATATACGTAATGTGCTCACGTACGTTTCAGTCTGTTTTCCTACGATAGAATGACCGTGCATGCTATATTTAAACCACCTTGGGCCTCTTCCATTTATTGTGTGTACATAACTCGCATATTTCATGTACGTCTCACGGTTGTAAAATTTTCTAATGACAATAAGTCACGCCCCACCTACTGAAATAGTACACGCGTCTGTTGACAGGCCAGTGAGACCTGCAATAAGCCTCTGAGGTCTCTGAGTAATAGATGGAAATACCACATTAAATGGTTGTGAAAAGGTGGGGTGGATACCCAGACTTTACCTCACCGTGACCCTTTTGCTGGCAAACTAATTCGAACCACACACACACACGTTGCTGTAGGAACTATAGGTAGTGGTACAAGATTTGAAGTGTCTTGAGGACTCAGGATGCAGATCACTGAGCCGGCAACCACTGAGATTTTGGGCCTCAGTCCGGATTTCATCCTCATAGCTGTGGTGCGTTGATGGTGTCGGCCCAGTCGGTGATGAGTGGAGAACAAAACATCATCACCTAAAATGTAGGTTTTTACTTCATTGTTACTAAATTCCAACCAGTGTATCAGTTCGTCACGTGGCAAAAGCATTCTTTGTGTAGCGGGGTGTGTGGGAGAGTGTGCGGCCCCTCATGTGAAGGGATACCTTAACAAGTTCCACGATATCCGCTGCAGTGCACCATTCTCTAATGGGGGTCATGCATCTCTGTGCGAGACATCCATATCGACTCCTCATTCCATGGCACGGTGTTGATATGCCATTTGTATTTCTGATCACTCAATCAGCATTACATCCAATTCGCACTATGAAAACACGCGTTATAGGAGATTGCGTTGTGTTCGTTTGGACTCCCCACCCCCATCCCGTATCGTGTCACCGGCTTAAACGTCGCGATTGTCCGCGCAGGCCGGGTCTCGTGGACCTGGAGGAGGTCCGGCGCCGGGGCGCGCGGCAAAACCTGGAGGAGGCCCTCTCGCTCGCGGAGTCGGAGCTCGGCGTGCCGCGGCTGATCGACCCGGAAGGTTTGTGCGGCGACGTGGTCGGTGGCCGTACGCCGACGAGAATGCCTCTGAAGCCACAGGACGAGCGGCTCTCGTCTGATTGAGCGGTGTCGGGGTGGCTCAGCCTGGTCACGGCTTGTACATTATTGGAAAACAAACGTTGACAGGAATAAAACAAACGTGGCCAAGCCCCGTCTTGAATGGCATCACTGTGTTTGGCATTGCACGTTCGTGGCCTCACTGCATTGGTATTGTCTTGTGTAATACGGTAGTAACGTCACACATGTTAAACTGATGTCACATTGAACATGTGTTTTTACAGATTTTTGTTTTGTGTGAGTGGCAATTATTACTGCCCCGTTTTAACATACGTGGCATCACTCACTTATTCTTAAATTATATTGATGTCGCAGTGATGTCACTATTGTGCAATAATGAAATGCTTGACTGCAACTTCAAAGTCCATCTTCTTAAAAAAACAATCTTCGTGCATGTGTAGGACAGTGTGGGACACAACATCTGGAGAAGAAATATATCCATATAATATATATGCTCTGGGTTGTACCTTCCTTTCAATGGCAACACATGCGCAATACAACCGTATGCCCCGTTTTGTCTGTGTGTAGATGTGGACGTGGACGCCCCTGATGAGAAATCCATCATCACATACGTCTCCGCGCTGCACAATGCCCTCCACAAGCAAGGCGGGCAGAGCCGTGTTGCCCTGGTACCTGTGCACGGATATTTTTCACTCCTCGCACCACGAGGGTTCGATTTACTTCGTGAATGGGTTTTAAGGGATCATTTGAATTCCGCACACGTATCGTGTACGGCTCGCAGTCGTAAGGTTGTGAGTTTAAATCCGGATGGCGTCATTCGTACTGCGTTACGTCATTGGCTCTCTGAATATTGCAGTTTAAATGTGACTTGAATCTGGTGTCTTTATTTCACACAGAGAGCAGTTTAAAAAACTAAACTAAAAATAAGTTTTTATTATCATGTAAGGCCCACTGAGCTTCATAGCTCTTTTTCAGAAGTGACCTGACCACAATTGATAGCTAAACGAAATGGCTTATCACATGGTAAATGTATAGCAGCCACATACTCTAAACGCGTGATGTTGATTCTAAATGTGGAAGGAAAAACTGGAGGACCCGGAGCAAAAATCCTTGCGACCACGGGGAAAACATGCAAACTCCAAATATACAGGCGTCAGGGTTGGGATCGGACCCACGCGAGGCAGTTATCATCTCGCCACCGTGGCACCCCAAATAAAGGTTACGGGTATCTGAGCAAGGAAGCAGTGTTTCCAGCAGCAGATAGTTGCAGCAGCTTTATCACAAACAGGGAATTAATTATCAAGGATGCGACCAAAGGTTCCCGCCGTTGATCGTCGATTGTTGGGGCTGTGACGAGGATGCGAATGAGGATGCGGACGAGTTCTGGAGACTGGCTGCCTCCCTGCGAGTCTGGATTGAGGAGCGTACCATCACCCTGCAAAGCAGAACCTTCCCGTACAGCATCGACAAGCTGATGGTGAGCGACGCAGACGCCCGGCTGCATATGTTTGAATTGAACGATGCTGGACTATTTCTGTCAAAATAATCGTTGCGTGGGTAGTTGAGGTTATCTTCTTTTCTTTCCTGTGCAATTGTGTCGAGCCTCCAAAGGGGAAGAGTATTCAGGTTCTGAATGTGTTATTGTGGGTGTCTATTTGAGGGGGGGGTAGTTTAGACAGGGGGGGTGTAGCGGTTAGCGCACTGCGCTACAAACCTAGTAACCCAAGTTCGATTCCCGCTTATGGCCAACACCAGTGACAATTATCTGAACTGGTCCTGGGCCTCAGATGAGTATCTGGTGTGATGTGTAAATATTTCTACCTGAGAAACAAAGGTGGCCGGGCGTGTTGCTGGCCACCCACCTTCTTGTGTGCCGTGGCGGCCTTCATAGGTGCTCGCTAACAACGCTCGCCCCAACAGTCGATACGGGGAAGGGGGAGTGGGGGGGGATCTTTCTCTTTGTCTTTAAACTTTGTGGACTATAACAGTAACATTGACAAACAGTACGCAAGTCTTCCAGTCAGCCTCCGATACCCTGCTGTGCCACCCTGGTGCGACTTCCTGGCGGTCCTCCTTGCACTGTGCATGGAGGGAGTGGTGGCAGCCGTGTGAATATCCTGAGCTTGGATATTCAAATTCCCGTCAGGACCCCCGCTGATCTCCGTAACTTCACTCACTTGAAGTGGCAGTGCCACTCGCATTGTTGATCGGCATAGAGATTCATCCACTGCACCGGGATTGCACGAAGAAAAATATTACAACATCAAAAAAATCGTCAGAGTCGTTGTGGAGAATATAAGGAACATATAAATAAGGAGACAATACACCTCATTTACATCTCTGTTTCTCCACGTTAAAACAAATGTAAACGTTTTTAAACATCTCATAATCTCAGCAGCATTGGTTCAATGCGAGCAAAACTCTGAACCGGTTTTGACATTGACTGTTTCATCAGCAGAGTGAGACTTGCGTCAACCAATGCTGATGAACTGCCTATCTGTTAGACACGGGTCTTTGTTCAACACAAAACGATATAATACATATCACAGACTAAGAATTAACTGTGGAGAATACAAGTGACAAAATAATTCAGCAGCCAATACACGTCCTTCCCATATTTAGCCCTCCACATAAAAACTGTAAGGATATTTTACAATTGCTCACTATCGGCCACGTGGGCTTCGGGGAGTGAATTCATAATTTCAGCGGCATTGGTTCAACACAAGCAAACCCTGGACCCGTTTTGATATTCATTGTCTCTCAAGCATGGGCATGCTTGCTTGAAGCAACGCTGGTGAACTGCCAGATGTTCATTGGACCAACATTTTAAGGTGCAAACCTCACATTGCTGAATTGAAAGGATGTCCTCTGCATTGTTACAAAGCCGATGGCAGGATAATCACATTGGGATCCTTTGTCCGTAAGTTGTGAGATACATTTCCACCCGTTGTGCCCACAGGTGACGCAGAAGGAACACGCTCTCATGAAAAACTCAGAGTTTCCAAAGAAGAAAGCCGAACTGCTGCAGCTGGAGGAGGTGTACAAGTCAATGGAGGTACATTGTGTTCACTTGCGCTTGACACCAGATGCATGAAATAATATTTGCCTGCCTGTGTGGCTACCTTCCCCAGAGAATTACTTCACACGAAATACTTTTAGAACACCAACGTGTTTAAATATATATTTTTCCCTTGGGCAGTAAACTCCCACTACCGACACACTTCACATTTGATCCTCTAAAAAAATTCTTAAGAGCAGATTAAGGCAGATCCACCACCCCCCATAGACCAGAGGGGAGTCCACCACCACCACTACTCACCAGAGCGGTGTCCACCACCACCAACCCACTCACCAGAGCGGTGTCCACCACCACCCCACTTACCAGAGGAGTGTCCACCACCACCCCACTCACCAGAGCGGTGTCCACCACCACCCCACTCACCAGAGCGGTGTCCACCACCACCCCCACTCACCAGAGCGGTGTCCACCACCACCCCACTCACCAAAGCGGTGTCCACCACCACCCCCACTCACCAGAGGGGTGTCCACCACCACCCCACTCACCAGAGCGGTGTCCACCACCACCCCCACTCACCAGAGCGGTGTCCACCACCACCCCCACTCACCAGAGCGGTGTCCACCACCACCCCCACTCACCAGAGCGGTGTCCACCACCACCACTCACCAGAGCGGTGTCCACCACCACCCCACTCACCAGAGCGGTGTCCACCACCACCCCCACTCACCAGAGCGGTGTCCACCACCACCCCCACTCACCAGAGCGGTGTCCACCACCACCACTCACCAGAGCGGTGTCCACCACCACCCCACTCACCAGAGCGGTGTCCACCACCACCCCCACTCACCAGAGCGGTGTCCACCACCACCCCCACTCACCAGAGCGGTGTCCACCACCACCACTCACCAGAGCGGTGTCCACCACCACCCCACTCACCAGAGCGGTGTCCACCACCACCACTCACCAGAGCGGTGTCCACCACCACCACTCACCAGAGCGGTGTCCATCACCACCACTCACCAGAGCGGTGTCCACCACCACCCCCACTCACCAGAGCGGTGTCCATCACCACCACTCACCAGAGCGGTGTCCACCACCACCCCCACTCACCAGAGCGGTGTCCACCACCACCCCACTCACCAGAGCGGTGTCCACCACCACTCCCACTCACCCACTCACCAGAGCGGTGTCCACCACCACCCCACTCACCAGAGCGGTGTCCACCACCACCACCCCCACTCACCAGAGGAGTGTCCACCACCACCCCCACTCACCAGAGGAGTGTCCACCACCACCCCACAGCATTCATGAAGACAGAAAGCCCTTCTCTCCGCATACAATGCAATGAAACCCCTTGTTTATTGGGCTTTTTTTACAGTGACAGTTTATCACGTGTTAATATCACGTGTTTATGTCACATGTTTACATCAGACGCTTGGGGCAGTGACATGGCCTAGCTGTAGCGCATTCGCCAAGTTTTGCAGAGGTTAATGGTTTGAGCCCAGCGCCCGCCGTGATTATCACAACACGTGTGATCTGCGTCTATGTTGAACTTCTTTCGTGCCGTACTTAGCCAACCGTGCCAGTCGGAGGTGCAAGATAATAACCATAGCAATACACTGCACAATGGACGTTAACGATCCCCTGACGTCATTAGCAAGAGGAGGCCATAGTCTGTCAGTGTCAGGGTTCTAACATGTCACATTTGATCGTTACCCGCAAATTACTCAATTTGTATTTTTCGTAGAAATCATCGCCCCGCTACTGGCAGACGAATGTCCCAGGTTATTCTTGCAAACGAGGCGTTGCTGGTCTGTTGAGTTCTCCCCTGGTTAAACAAATGTAACTCGTTTAGATTGTTCCTCATGGATTCTTTGTTGTTTTTATAAGGTTTGTTCACCCAATTAGCCTTACTGAATGTGACACTAAAATGTCATTTGATAAAAACATAAACATCTGATTCTCACACAGATGAGTCGATGCATGTAGCATCATGAGCACAATAATGTATTTTAATTAATAAATGTATGCATTGTTCCATGCCCATTTTCTACCCCACAAAATCTGTTTGCATCAGACATTACAGCGACTTAAAAAAGGCTACAGTAATCTGTTGTACCTTTATATCAGTTGTCGGTTTGGTCTCTTGACACGGCAGTTTAAACAATGGGCAATCTTCTTAACTCTCCCCACCTCTGCCCACCCAGCTGTACAAATGGGATAGCCACAGTTAGTTCATTGGCAAGTTGTGTGTGGTGGGGTAAAGTGCAATCAAGTACTTCCACCTCTTTTTAGATCTGTGGCTAACGTGGAAGAGTAGGCAAAATACTCTCAAGAGTGGCTCCTTCTATCAGATGCCCTTCCGCCAGCAGTGACATGCGCAAGCAATTTCAGGGGCCGCGCCTTTACCTTTTTATGCCATATTTTCTATATGATAAGGTACAAGCACGCCGCACAGTGTTTCTCAATACCCACGTTGTGTTTGGTTTTGTGTGGAAACGTGGACTGCTGGACATCTGCCGGCCACTTTGCAGCCGCAGCTCAGCAATGACGGGCATGAGGCCTGCCGGCCCGACGAACTCCATGAAGCCTGGAGTGGCCTGCTCAACGCGTCCGCCAACTACGAAGACGCCATCGTCACCGAGGTTCAAAGGTGAGTCCTGGCAAAACGTGGATTACACCCCCAATTAGCACGGTTGGCTACGTACGGTGCGAAAGACGTTCAACATATATGCTTACATGAACATGCCGGAAACAGCTGCAGGGTGAACATGTTGACTACAGGAGGCAGTACAAGCAAGCACGTTACTGGGTCTGGCTGTCCACAGTTGGAGTGATGCTCCCTTGTTTGTAAGGGTTTTCTCTGAGGGCTCATTTTCTGCCCATGTCATAAAGTACTAAGAACAGAAATTGGACAAGCATCTTAAACAGCAACCTCCTGGACATGAAAGTGTTTGAAACTCCGTGAAACTTTTTTAATGACAGATTTCCATAGAACAACTGAGACCAATTTGAGCTGGTTTGATTGGACTCATTTCTCGCAGAACTTGAGTAGAACAGAGCTTGAGTTGCCAAAAAAAGTGGATTTCCTCTTTTTTCAGTTACGCGGGTTATCGCATGAGTTGGGCAAGGTTTTTTTTGCCAAAAATCTGAGTCGAACTTTTACAGAAATGCTTCGCGAATTTGCAGCCAACTAAATTTAACAACAAAATCTCTAAATGCGCTGTTGAGATGTCAATTTGAGGCATGTGTCTCATAGAAACTAGGTTTGAATGTTTTTGTTGTTGCTATGTTACTGTCTTCCTCTTCACATTTTAGGCTTGGTAGATATTTTACCTTCATTGTAGAATTTTTTTTATGTAGGTGGAATCAGATAGGGCCAGTTATCTGTGATACAACTAGGTGGTGCAGTAGCAAGTTTATATTCTGGTTCGGGAACAACACAGTCCTTCACTCCTCCAGGATTGATAAAACGAGTACAGTCTTTTCTCCTATAACGCGCGTTTTCATAACGCGAATTGGATATAACCCAATTGAGTGAACAGAGCTGAGTCGCACGTGTAGGAATAAGCGGTTTTACGGCTGCCTCGGCATTGCGTCACTCATGGCGGGATGCTGCTCGATGCTTTATATATGCTACCCCCGCGCGTTAGTATCTGTTGAGCCTGCGTATGCATCTCACGTGTTATCGCAGACTGTGCTTTACCCTATATTATATATTATTTATTACAACGCGATTTTTCTACAACGCGGTGTTCTTCAGGAACAAGCTGTGACTACGTTGTGGGTAGTCAGCAATGTTTGTACCATGTATAGTTTCTCCTGCTACAGGAAAGGGGAATTCCCGCCATTGCCCCAGAGCTGTCAACAGGAGATGAGCAACACTCCCCACGCTGATTAGAACATTAAAACCACTTGAACTTGTTTCAGTTTTCGATAGGCACCTCAGACCGCATTGTTGCGGTTGGACCCGATTCAAGAGCCGAATGGCTCACAGGGCTATACCTAATAAATGAACTTTGAACTTTCAACGGCAGTGGCGAGAGGTGAACATTGAGATTGTTGGTGCTGCAGGTTATGTGAACGCCTTCAAGTGACCATGACATTGATCTATGAAAGCAAATGTGCATTCAGGACATTCTGCAAATACCGACGCCGTCCTGCTACCCAGCGTGCTTGTTTGAGCGGCTTTCGTGTCTATCTGAACCCTTCGTCACATACGCCCAGTGTGCCCAGCAGGTCCTCTTTACGCAGCCTTTAGCTGTTCATGTCCAACTGAAACGCCAGCAGTGTTTGTTTAATCTGTGTCGCTGTCAAGAGGCACAACCTCAGCGGCATGTTTTACGTTTAATGCGTTACATGAGACTTTGTTTTTTACCCTTCAAAGATTCACCCCCCCCCACACCCCCGCCACCCCCCCCACACACACACCCGTCACCCCCCCTTGCAATCCCCGACCCCTCCCAGCGATGAGATGAATTGTGACGATTCGGGGGGTCACGATTTGAGAAGTGATTCTCTTTCGTTGCGTTTCTACCGTCTCGCCCGCATTGTTGTTTCACTTTCGTCGGCACGGTTTTGTTCAACGCATCAGTCGTATAAATGCACAATTTGAATGTCATATGCTTTCATGATATTAATTGAATCTCAAGCACGTAATTGTGTACAGGTGTATCTCGATTTGCACAGTAGTAGATGCGTTCCAAATAAGGGAACACAAAACGTAACCGCACGAGACAGCTGCCTGGCAAGTAGCACGTACAATCCACACAGTACACACACAGTACACACAGTACCCACACACTACACACACACACTACACACACAGTACAATCCACACAGTACACACACAGTACACACAGTACCCACACACTACACACACACAGTACACGCACAGTACCCACACTACACACAGTACACACACAGTACACACACACAGTACACACAGTACACACACACTATCCACAGTACCCACACACTACACACACACACTACACACACAGTACACGCACAGTACCCACAGTACACACAGTACCCACAGTACACACACAGTACCCACAGTGCATGCACACAGTACACACAGTGTTACCCCACGTCCAACCGCATCGCTGCATGTAGAGCGAATTCAAACCGCGTAAAGAGAATTTTGGGTAGTAATAAGTTGGTTAGCGTGCGTATATGCGACATCGCATAAGCCGAATGCTCGTAAAGCGAGGGAAACCTGTTCATGCATCGTGATCGTAAAAATCTATTTTAACCGATTAATACATCTGTGCATTCATACTGGCCTCATTTTTACCCACCATATCTGCATTTGTTTGGCAATTTCATAGACATTAACAATGTTATATGTGTGGCTGCACCTTCATATGAGGATGCTGCTGTGGTGTGGTGGTCAGCGCACTGGACGTGCGATCCAGATGTTGCAGGCTTGAGCTCCCCTTGCAGCAATTTAAACTCTGGGCAACTTTTTTTTTTAATCCCTTAAATTTACTCTCTGCGTAGAAGAGTAGGCCAAATACCCTCCAGAGCACCGATGGCCACCAGGCGCATGCTGGCTCTTTAATCCACCACGTGCGGGCTCTATCAAAGGGGCATAACACAGAACGTGCTATCACAGTAGCAAAGAAACATGAATGTCACCTGTGCTGTGACGAAAACTGTCAATATATTTACACGTGTGTAGATCCACTTGGCTCTTTGCAGAACTCTTGGGTGCTGTTTGGCTCTTGATCTGATACAGGTTGGCGTGCCCCGCTCTCGAGTTCCCGTTCGTGTAGGTACCTACCGACAGCAGTGGCGTGAGCCAGTGATTGCGGGGCTGCACCTTTGCCTCGTCTTTCACGCCACAAGTTAACGGATGAGCGTCGCAGCAAGGGGGGTTTTCCCAATCTCAGCTTTCGACAGCGTTCTACCGTTGCCTGCACCCTCCTTTCTCAGGGGACAAACGCCCTGAAACGCTTAGCCTCCCGCGGCCCCGTTGCTCCGCTACGTTTCTCGTTGCCAACGCAGCAGAGCTGCTGCTAATTTAAGCCGCGGTTGATGCGGCCGGACGTCAGTGAACAGCCTCATCAAAGTGTGCCCCCCCCCCCCCGTGCGGACTGTGTGGTGGGTTTGCACGTACAGGTACGGTACCGTGGATTGCGTGTCTTGAGAACAATGGCACAGCCTCTTGGGGTGCCCTCTGAATGCCCATTGCAGGTGTCCTGTGGCCGCCATCCCTTTGTGTGCTGTTAAGTCACGCACTCGAGCTGGGTGTGGTGGGGCCCCGATCTTTCTCTCTCTGTGTGTGCACTGCTCAGAGGATGACGGCACACTGCCCACTCAGCTCAGACATTCATGAAACTCCCTCTGCTCAGAGATGGGAAGGAACCTGGGATTTTTTGAACACACTTTTCAACTCGGGTCAAAAGCTTTAACGCATGAGCTCTGTCCGTCCGTCTGTCTGCCCGCCTGTAACAGGGGGTCGTGATGGCTGGAGTAAAGATGATTCAATGGGATTACAACTTATGCAGAAACTTTCGCAGAAAGTTGTGCTGCGAGTAGGGACCACATCGATCAAAGCGGTTGCACTTTCATCAATTTGGCCTTTGCGCGGCTTGAAAGGCATTGCCATTGTTGCTAATCAAATACTCTTTGGTTCTTTCGGTAAAGTCACGTAGGTAGAAATAAAACAAAATAAATCACGGCTAATCAAATACTTCCAAACACAAATGCTTACAGAATCGATTCCTCCTTGATTCGCTAAACATTTCACTGTTGTAGTTCGTCCATAAGGGCGTGCGTGTGTTTTTTTCTCTCTCTCAAATGTTGGTATGTTTTTTTTCGTAACGTATCTACCCTGTACCTGTCTCCAATAACAGCCACAGTCATTTTGCCCAGGGGATAGGCGCGTCAGCTGTCAACTGCGCATTTCGATTGCTCCAAGCGTGCGCGATTGGCCAGATTGGTGGGTCTATGTTCTCACGCGTACATTTGAACCAATGACATGGCTCACCCGCCAAGGTTAGTTGGCAAAACAGTGTAGAGCGTGCCGGACCGCAAGAAGAAAGTACTGTTCATGTTGTGGTAGCCTGCTTGTTAAGTGTTGGGGAAGTTGGAGGGAGGGGCGGCATTCTCACATGAAGAGGGTGTTTATGCAAAATATGTTACTTTTACTACACATTTATAAAACTACTTCATATATAGAAGTTAGTTTTATTTACAAACGAATGGTAATTGAGCGCACGTACAAACGCACACTGACTTTTCTCAGCACAAATTAACATTGGATTCACTTATTCACTCTCGTGCAGGACGATAAATGCGCGCACTGCCATGCTAACGATCTCCAAGAAAGGTGAACCCAACGTGGGCACCTGTGAGCGTCACGTCGCTTCCAAAAGCATGTGTGCATGGTCCAGGCAGCGTGAACATATTGACCCTACGAGGGATCGTGATTCAACTGTGCTTCTTTGGCTTTGGAATTCCACGACCCCTTGTCAGCCTTCTTGCCTTCATGCGTGTTCGTTTGCATGTTTACGTGCGTGTGGTTAATGCAGACTCGATGCCTTGAAATAAAGGTAGCTATTTGGCGTTATAACATCTTAACACCTGTTTTATTGCCAGAGAGCGTAAAACCTATCCTTATGTTTCATCATTTTGGATACTGCC